GGGCTCTGCCCTGGGGGTGGAGCCTGCTTGGGATTCACTTTCTCCCTTTGCCTCTCTCTCCCCACTCTCCTTCTCTCTCGGGGTGGGGGAGAATATGTGGCAGATTCCACATGTGGCCTGCAAAGCCTGAAATATTTACTGGCTTTTACAGAGAAAGTTTGCTGATCCCTGCTGTATAGGATGGAATTATGCTGAGAAACAACTCCAGAAATCTGTGGAACGATCCCAGCCTTTGGCTGAATACTAATCTCCACGCACATAGGTTAAGTTTCCAGGAGGCTGTGGCAAGGACAACTGCCAGGGAGCTGTAAGATGAAGAGCTCACAGAGCTCACGCAGGGCTGGGAGAGTCAAGCTTCATCCATCCAGGGAGGAAGGACCTCGCTGAATATTCAGGCAATCAGGATGTACCCCATGAGGCTAATACACATTAGGTTTTTTTTTTTTTTAATGTTTTATTTATTTCTAGGAGAGAGAGAGAGAGAGAGACAGCGTGAGCAGGGGAGGGTCAGAGAGAGAGGGAGTCATAGACTGAAACAGGCTCCAGGCTCTGAGCTGGCAGTCAGCACAGAGCCCGATGCGGGGCTCGAACCCACGAACTGTGAGATCATGACCTAAGCGAAAGTCGGACGCTTAACCGACTAAGCCACCCAGGCGCCCTAATACACATTAGTATTAAGGCTACCTAATCCTAGGATAAAGGCTAATACACGTTAATATTAAGGATACCTAATCCTAGGATAAAGGCAAATACACGTTAATATTAAGGCTACCTAATCCTAGGATAAAGGCTACTCTAGACTCCTAACAAAGCTTAAAACCCAGCTTCAAACAGACCAAGGTGAACTGCAAGTAATTTAGCCACCTGCCATATTTCAACATTCCTTAAAGAGAGACAATACAATTCAAATAGTCAAGGATGTAAAATTAATAGCCTTCAGCATTCATTAAAAATTACTAGACCCATACCTGAGGGGTAAGCCGGTCAATAGAAACAGATGCCGAAATAGTAGGCAAGAACTTTAAAACACCTGTTATTAATATTACAAATGTGCTTGAGGATTTAAAAGAAAACATGAACGTGACTAGGAGAGAGGATAAAGAAAGAGCTAAATGGAACTGTTAAGAGCTGAAAAATATTCCACCTGCAGTGAAAAATTCACTGGATGGGTTTAATCACAGCCAAGATGTTGCAGAAGGAGATATTAGTAAAATCGAAGGCACAGCAATATAAACTATTTATACTGAAGCACAGATAAAAAAAGATTGAAAGAAGTTATCAGGCCATGATGATTTGACCTTCGGGATGATATCAAATGGTCTTATGTGAGAAAATTGGAGTTACAGAAGGCGGAGGAAAACTGGGAGCAGAAATATCTGAAGAAATGCTATTCTTCAAAAAATTTTGAAAGAATAGTTGCTGAAGAATTTCCAAATTGATTAAAAACTAGAAGCCACAGATTTAGGAAGCACAATGGACCCGAGGCCAATGCAAAGAAAACCACACTGCAAAACATAGTAATTGTATTGTTATTCAAAACTCAGGGATAGAGTTTAAAAGCAGGGGGCGAAAGTCATATTACTTACAGAGGAACAGAGATAAGAATGATTGGGCCACCTGGCTAGCCCAGTCAGTGGAGTATGTGACTCTTGATAGCAGGGTGGTGGGTTCGAGCCCCACACTGGGTGTAGAGATTACTTAAAAATAGAATGATAAGATTGACTGCAGACTCTGTTTCAGAAACAATGAGAGTCAGAAGATAGTAGAGAAAGGATCATCTTCAAGTGTTAAAAGAAAATAAGTCAGTGTAGGTGTAGAATTCTACGTTGAACGAAAGTATCTTTCAAAAATAAAATTGAAATAAAGTCTTTAAAAAAAAAACGCTGAGATAATTTCTTCCTGGACTTCAAGAAATTCTAAGTTCTTCAGGTTGAAGGAAAATGCTATCAGATGGAAACTGGTCTGTACAAAGAAAAGTAATGAGGTGGGCCACAGGAAGCTTTGTGAGGAAACATTAAAGACTTCCCATTTTTAAATTTCTTGCAATGTAGAATATGCAACTTTTGATCTTTTTGTACTCATTACATTAAAATCAATGAGTCTTGGGGTGCCTCGGTGGCTCAGTTGGTTGAGCAACTGACTTTGGCTCAGGTCATGATCTCACGGTTTATTCGCTCAAGGCCCATGTCGGGTTCTGCACTGGCAGTGTGCAGCCTGCTCTCTCTGCGCCTCCCCCACCTCTGCTTGGTCTCTCTCTCTCTCAAAATAAATAAACTTAAAAAAATAAAATTGGGGACCTGGGTGGCTCAGTTGGTTAAGTGTTCAGCTTCGGCTCAGGTCATAATCTCAGTTTGTGAGTTTGAACCCCATGTCAGGCTCTGTGCTGACAGCTCAGAGCCTGGAGCCTGCTTTGGATTCTGTGTCTCCCCCTTCCTCTGCCCCTCCCCCTCTCACTCTCTGTCTCTCAAAAAAAAAAAAAAAAAAAAGAAAGAAACTTCAAAGAATCAAATGGTCTTTCACTTTGAATGGATCTTTTGACCATAATTTTGTGAAATCATTGGAAAATATTGGTTCACTTGGTTATGTAGATTTTCCAAATGTTGACACATGTCATTACACCATATCAGAAATCACCTTTACTTATGTTACCACTATGGTTGTCAGAAAAGTATTTACGTATTGGAACGCTGAAAGCGTGTGCCTAGAAGCCTGTGGCAGCACCACTGTCAGCGGGCTCATGGAGGGTCTGACTGACCATCACGGGATCCCACATCACATAATACTACAGAGTATTGAAAGGACCAATTGCAGACCCTCCAGAGTGGAACTACATTGATATAATAATCATGCCACCAAATAGCTGGTTGGTCTCCTTTAGGGATGTAGCAAATTTCAAGGTTGAAATTGCATTTCCAGGGTTGGCATTGACCTTTGATGCTGACAGGTTGGACATTCAGCAGCAGCAGTAGCTGTATCGCTTTGGTAAGAGGAACCCCATGCTGTTTAACTGGGTGGGTGAATATCTTCCAATCTTGCCACCACGAATAGTCTGTTCATGATACACTGTGCAAGCATGGAGGTTCACAAGGGCAAGTGTTAGCAGATCTCTGGTGGAGGAGTCGTCTTATCCACTTGGTTGTTGAGTGGCTCACTGCAGTGGCTACTCACTGGTGCGCACTGGCATGGAATAGAAAGGCCGCGCACGTTGTTTCTGCTCCTATAGGTCTGTCCATGTACTTCTTTCCCAAATTGTGGAGTTTTGCTCTTTCTAAGCCCCTGATCGGCCAGAGAAGCCATTCATCACTGCTCAGGGATCCATTTATATTCTTATTCAGGCCACTTCTCCTTTTGCACCAAGTGGATGACCAAGTGTGCTGTTTGAAGCCCTATGCACAGGACTTCTTCTCATCCCTGTGTTCAGGGCCACCCCGAATGAGGTTCCAGTGCAACAGCAGTCTGTTTTCATTTGGCACCAAGATTTTGAGCCCATCTGTGAACCAGGCCCGGTTTTTTCCTCTTTCATCAGCTCGTTATAGGACACTCCTTAGAAGGCTGGGTATGAGCTGAGGGGGGAAGCTTTAATTCAATACAACTGGCTGATAAGGAAGTCTAGGTCATTATTTTTGTGCAGCTTCCTTGTGTCTTCAAGACATGTCATAATTCAACTCCAAATATATCAAGTCCATTGAACGATCAACTGCTTTGTCTGGCTGAGTTTATGACTTGGTGATTCTGGCTAAATATCTACTTTATGATAGGAGGCATGGAACTCTCAGTCACTTAATGTCCCATGTTCTGGCACTGAGTTTCTTTCTAGGGTGCAGCGGCGTGCCAGGAGTTGTTTTTCAAATAATGTACAATTTCTTTGCTGCAGACAGCATGGTCTGGCTCCAGTACTGTGGGAGTCTGTACTGTGACTCTATAATTAGGACAGAGCAGAGACTCCTTACCTCCTTACCACATTTTAGTCTTACCAGCAAACTCTAGCACCATGGGGTTTGCTGGGTCATATATAGCCCAAGTGATAGGCTACTACAGCCTGACTTCATTTCCTCATAGGAGGAACTACAGAGCATTGTGGCCGGTCTTAAGTATGAACTCCGGGATAATCTCCCCGCTCAAGAGTTTTCATTTAATCACATTCCTTTTGCCACGTAAGGTAACATATTCACAAGTTCAGAGATTAGAACACGGACATCTTTGGGATGCCAGCATTCTACTACAGGGTTGTTTCCAGAGGTTGGCTATTTAAAAACAAAGCTACTAAAACCATTCCTACAGGTGTGTGTGTGTGTGTGTGTGTGTGTGTGTGTGTGTGTGTACCAAGGCTTCATTTCTGTGGGGTAATACCCAGGAACGCAATTACCGAATCGTATGGTAATTACATATTTTGTTTTATAAGAAACTGCCAGTCTGTTTTCCAGAGTGGCTGTAATAATTTTACATTCTTACCACAATGTCTGAGTGTATCTCTGCATCCGTGTCAGTATTCTGTGTTGTCAAGATTTTTAAATTTTAGCTAGTGGTGTGTCGTGATATCTCACTGTGGTTTGCATCTGCACCCTGCTAACGGCTCTGTTCAAGAGGAGGTTGATTTTTTAAAACGTGGCACTGCCATCTCTAAGGCAGTGGTCAGTGCCGTTCAAGGCAGCGTGTCCGTGTCCGTGTCCGCCGACTGGTGCTGATCTTGACCGCGAACCCACGGGGGAGGAGGGGCGGCGGGGCGTGCTGCCCGCCCCCCGCGCCGGGGCTGCAGGTGCATGGCTGCGGAGGCAGCGGAGGCAGCAGCGGAGGCTCGCTGCCTTGGAGGCTCGCAAATCAAGGACGAAAAGCCTCCCCGAGTCAGGACTCCGCGGCCTGCGCGGCGCGCTGCGGGTCAGGATCCCCAGCAGGCGCCGCGGGACCCTGATCCCCGCGGAACGCAGTTTCCCGCCAACGCGAGGGCAGGGCCGCCGGCCGCCGCGAGGGGGCGCTGCGAGAGGCGCGGCGGCGGCGGGCCCATGGCGTCCCTGGGCGGTGGCTCCATGGGCCTCGTGCTCTGGCTCCTGCTATTCCGGCTGCCGCTCGGTGGGGTGCAGGGCGAGTCGGCGTCGTCCGCACCCTCCCCGTCCCCTTCGGGGGGCCGCCGCGAGGACCCCCGCGAGAGCGTGTCGAGGGGTGCGGGATCTTCTGCGACCCCTGAGCCCCAAGAGGCTGCCGCATTTCCCCAGGTGGCGGCGGTCACCCCACCTGACTCTGGTATCTACAGGACTGCGGCCTTTCCGCAGCCACTAGTGATATCAGGGTCGCAGTTTCCTGCAGGTGATGTTTCAGGCCGGGTCTTGCCACGGAGAACTGGCCTGGGCCCAGGGGGATGGGACTCTGCTCTGGGGGAGGGTCTCATGGAAGATAATTTTGCCCCAGGGGAGGGAGGCTCTGAGTGGTCCCAGCCCTGCCCTTGAGCTCGGAAGGGACATGGCCATTCTCTGAGGAATCTTGGGGGGATACAGAGCTGCTTGGGGGGAGGGGTTCTGAGGGGACCTGACCTTGCTTTGAGGGTTCTGAGACTTCTGAGGATTATCCGGCTCTTGTGGTGGGGCTGTCAGTGGCTGTGCTTTCAGTGTCCTCCCTTCCTTGACCTGCTCCAGGCTGTGGCCAGAGGTCTATGAGGATAGTCGGAGGAATACCGGCCCCAGAGAGGAAGTGGCCCTGGCAGGTGAGCCTGCAGATCAAGGGTCAACACATTTGCGGAGGCTCCCTCATCGCCAGCCGGTGGGTGCTGACTGCCGCCCACTGCATATTTGGGTGAGTGCCTGGGGCTCAGTGCTTAGGCTCCTGTTCAACAGGCTCTGTGACCCGGAGCCTGTCTTGTCCCCCTCCCTGAGCTTCCCCTTCCTCATTTGAAAAAGGGGGTCCTAGTCCCTGCTCTTCAGACCACAGTCAGAGGTACGTGATGGTAGGGCCCTGAAAGTCAAGACCCCAAATCAGGTTCAAAGCTTGTACTGATCAGCCTTCAAGCCAAGTGGCAAGAAAGGGGCGAGATGCCAGTTGAGAGGCACTGTATGGGCAAAGACGGACGAGGGGGAATACTTTAAAAGAGTGGAGCGTCGAGAACCCATTTGGCCAGATCAGTGGTCTCACACTTTAAGGAGCATGGAAACACCTGCAGAGCTTGTTAAAACACAGATTGCCATCCCCGCCCCCCACCCCGCCCCCAGCGTCTCCAATGCAGTAGATCAGACCTGCCAATCCAAGAATCTGCATCTCTAACAAGTTCCCGAGTGATGCAGATCCATCACCAGGGAGCCAGCCTTGGAGCACCACTCCAGACACCAGGGGTCTGGAGATGGGACCTGGTTTGGAGGGAGGGAGGTGGTTTGATGGAGACAGGGCCAGGCTGGGAAGGCCCAGAGGGTGTGGAAGGGGAGTGTAGACCCTCTGGGATCCCTCTGCAGCCATTTGGAGTACACCGTGAAGATGGGAGACATTCACCTGAATCACACCTCCAGCGCGGCAGTCGTGGTGCCCGTCCGAGACATCGTTATTCACAAACATTACAGTGCGGTTGGAATCATTGAGAATGACATTGCCCTCGCCCTGCTGGAGTTCCCTGTGAATTTTTCCTTGCACGTCCAGCCCGTGTGCCTCCCTGAAAAGGCGTTCATGGTGCCAGCTGGTATGGAGTGCTGGGTGACTGGATGGGGAAAACTAAAGGAAAAAGGTGAGACTGAAGCAAGAGTCAAAGCTCAGGCCAGGCAAGAGGCTCCCTGGTGCCCTGTGCTTGGCCTACAAGCTAAAGGGGGAGGCAGGGAGGCTGTTTTCCAGCAAGTGAGTAAGGGGGGAGGGCAGAGAATGCTGGTAGGGAGTAGTTGATGGTGTTACAGATTTCGATTAGAATTTCAGGACCCGGGGTGTTGGGTGACAAGCAAGGTGGGTTCTCTCTGGGGTGGATTTTAGCCCAGGGGGTGTTGATCTGTCTGCTGATGGGAGCCGTCCCAAGCTGGAAGTCCTTGCCTTGGTCGATGGGGAACTTCCTGTGAGTGAAAAGAGACCAGAGAACTAACTCCTCCTGGTGAGGCTGTAGGGCCTCCTGTCCCTGGGGAGAGTTTGGATTCAGTACCTTTTGGATGTTATCTGTCCAAGAGTTTATGGTCCTGCTCCGAAGGAGAGTCACTTCACTGATGCACATTACAACTGTCACTATTACAAGGATTCTCAGAGTGACAGCCAATTGGTTTTGATTTCTCATAGCTGGTAAGGCTTCTTCCTGTCCTGATCTGTTCTTCTTTCTCCTATCTTCATTAAAAAAATTTTATTTTTAAAAGCTAGAAAAACAGAATGTGAATGGGGGAGGGGCAGAGAGAGAAGGAGACACAGAATCCAAAGCAGGCTCCAGGCTCTGAGCTGTCAGCAGATAGCCAATGTGGGGCCTGAACTCACGAACCACGAGATCGTGACCTGAGCCGAAGTCAGCCGCCCAACCGACTGAGCCACCCAGGCGGCCCTCCTGTGTTTACTTTGATTCTCACCTCCTCCTCTCCCCATGACCACTTTGGGCCTCATTTCGTTCAGAGTCAAATGGCAACAATATTCACTGCCCGCCCGCGGGGAGGCGGGGGGTGTCTGTATGTGAATACACTGTATAGAGACCGAGAAAGGACGCCAGGGGCTCAGGGTTTGGGCTATCAGGCAGAGCCACCTACTTGTAAATTTCCTCTACAGATAGACCCGAAGACGCTCCGGAACATCTTCAGGAGGCCAAGCTGAACATCATTCGTTACGAGGACTGCAACAGGGCGCTCCAGGAGCAGATGGAGACTAGTAGTCACCTGGTAAAGAAAGGGGCCGTCTGTGGCTACAGCTCCCGAGGAAAGGACGCATGCCAGGTCAGTCCATGGGCCCTCGGCTGTCTTAGCACCTTGCTCTTCCTCCATGGCTTCCTCTTTCATGGGCAGCGGGGCCCATGTTATCCACCAGCCTCTCCAGTCACCTGTAAGTCACGTCAAGGAGGGCCCAGGGGACACGCTGCCATGGCCAGGCCGGCCCGACTGGACCCTTCAGTAGGACCTGGTGTTGCCTGCAGGGAGCTGGGAGAGGACAGGCGATTCAGGCAGAAAATACCAATAATGCAAGTTGCATGTTTCAAACCCCTTCTAATGTGACAGGCAATGTACTTGGGTGAAGACCTTACTCGTTATGATCACCTCAGAGTGTGTACATTTCCTTGGCCCAGATTCCATTCTCCGTACACTATTTTTTGAGTATGTATATGCATTTTGTTGGCTCCAGTGTGCAACTCTCAAATCTGATATCCCCAGACACCCAGGGCTGGTGGATGCCCAGGGAAGCCCCGTGCACACCCATGTCCCCAGGCCCTGCAGTGTGAGCAGCCAGTTCTGATGTCGATTCTCTTCCATCCCTGTGTTCATTTTCTTTTTTTCCTCTTTCTCCAGGGAGACTCTGGGGGCCCCCTGGTCTGTGAATTTAACGACACGTGGGTCCAGGTGGGGATTGTGAGCTGGGGCATTGGCTGTGGTCGCAGACATTATCCTGGAATTTATACAGAAGTTAGTTTCTACAGGGACTGGGTCGTTGATCACCTGAGTCAAGCCTGCGCTTGGGACTCAGCGGGCTTCTTCATACTTCTGTGCCTGGTGCCGGCGCTGGGCATCCTGGTGGCCCCGTGATCAGCCCGGCCCACTCCCCTCCTGTTTCTGACTCACACACCGGGCGTCTCCTCTGACCTCCCCCTCCTCCTCATTGCCCTTTCCACCCGTGCTGGTTGGGATCCACCGACCCTGTAGAGAGCCCCCCAGTAGAGAGTGGCAGAAGCCTGGGGTCCCTAGCCTGATGTCCCAGTCGCCTGCCTCGGCCACGCCCACGCCTTGGTGAGCTCTGCCTGCCAGGGAGGAGGGAGGAAGGAGAGCTGGCCCCCCAGCCTGCCAGGCGGGGCCCGGTGCTTCCCCGACGACTGGGAGAGCCTCTGCCAAAGAGGAGACCTCATGCCAGCGAGACAGCGTTCGGCCTGGGCGTGGGCTCGGGACTCACCTGAGGGTCAGCGTGGTGATTGTGCAGAGAGAGCGAGGAGGCGTCCCCACGGCCCTGCTGAGGTCTGAGGCCTGGGGGTTCTGCAGCTGACCCGGGTGTCTGGGGCTGGGCCAAGTTCCCCCGTACCCAGGGCGGATCCACCTGTGTGTGCCACCCAGGCCCTGTGCCACACAGGCCCCGTGCTGGGGCCCCCTTCCCCCAGTACCCAGTGGCCACGTCCCGGCTCACCCCAAGTTGTGTGGAGGCATTGAGTGTGGAGATCTTAGATGTCAACCGAATAAACGTTTGTAGCATATTATTTGTTCTGAAGTTCTGTTCTCCTGAAAGTTGTGGGGGTGCCTATAACACGCTCTGTAGAGAACTAGTGTCCAGTGTAGCTTGGAAAGCACTTCCTGGTGCCCACTGAACTCTAGAAGCCCCAGAGGTGAGGAACTTGTCTACCTTGATCTTAGCCTGATCAATGCACTCCTATCAGAGCTGTCAGCATTTCTGTGGCCAGAATTGTTGTAGTTGAACTCGGCAGCCTCTGGATAAGGAGCAGGGGGAGCGAGAGGACAGAGACCAGAGCATGACACACTCACACAGCCTTGTACCTCTCAGTGCCGCCCCATACCGGGCATGCCTTGAGGAGGCACCATGGGTTGGGCGTCACCTTGAGCCCAAAGAACTGAGTTCCCACAAGGGGAGGGTGGGTGGGTGGTCTGGCTATGTGAGTGTGTGTGTGTGTATAGCTTGTTTTACCCAATCACCAGACCAGGTGTCCCATAGTCCTCTGGCCTGGTTGTTGATCATCCCCCAGCCACTGTCTCTTGCCCACCCTCCCTTCCGTGGCCAGGACTGGAGCTCCCAGTTACCATGGACCTCAGTAGGTGGTCTGCCATAGTCCCTCTGCTGCCTGAGGGAGGACGAGGTGGGACACTCCACTTCTCAAACCCCAGCCGGCTACAGCTGAACTCCGTTAATGCCACTACTATCCTTTTACAGAAATGCATGCGCGGACGGACCTGGGGCCCCGAGTCCTGCTCCCTCCCACTCGGACTCACAGCTTTCCTCAAGCCTGCTTGTCCTTCCCTGGGATGTCCCCTGCTGGGGCTTCATTTCCTTCTCAGGCAGTCCCCCTGGAACCTCCCCTGTGCACTCCCCCTGGGTTGTGAAGCGTGCTTTCTTCTAGGCTCCTGGTGGTGTGATCCTGTGTCCATTCCTTACTCTTGCTTCCCCTGGGGGACATTTAGGTCCCCAAGGTCGAGGGATTCTACCTACTCATTCTCTACTTTCCACCCTCCAGCTCTAGGCTTGGAACAGAGCAAGACTTCAGGAAATACTTGGTAAATGAGTGATAGGCAGGAGTCACAGCCCTGGCTGTCGGAAAAGGCCCCAAGCTCTGGGAGGTTTATGGTCCAGACAGGGTGTCCTGTGGCATGCTGCTATTAGAATGTGTTTCCTACTGGGGGCAGGGACGGAGACAGGAATTCAGTGGAGCAGCTTGGTTTACTGAGGATGGGCCTCTGACTACCAGAAAAGCCCGGCAGAGGCTCCCAGGCAGCGGGACCCCAACTGCCGAGTGAGTGATAGCCAGTCTTCCTAACCAATATTTGTGGGGTACGTTTTGTGAGTCAGGCACAGAGCTGCGGCCACAGATAAGATGTGGACCGCAGGTGGGAGGGAAGAGCTGAACAGTCGGATGACCCTTAGGTCAGGGGCGTGGTGGCTGGACCAAACCACCCTCTGAAAGAGACCGATGACACAGGCGAAGGAGGTTGACAAGCAGGCAAGGAGCTCTCCGAAAATATTCAGCTTTAAAGAGAAAAGAAACAAAGCAAAAAGCGCTGAGAGTTTCTAGTCATAAGAAGCAAGTGAAATACAGCCCAGACTTGAATATATAGTGTTATATAGTGCCCAGACTTGAAATACTGTTTCCCAGCAAGACAGACCAGGTGTGAAAATCTCCAGGTGCAGAGCAGGAAATGTGCAAGAGGAGATGAAAACGTCCTGTCACGCCAGACAGCAGGGAGTCTATCCGAATGACCAGGATTCCATCAAAAGGACTCGGGAGCCAACCGGAAGAGGTGCCCTGCAGCGACATGTGGGCTTCCCGCTAAATCCCACTTGCAGAGAAAGCACGTTCCCCGGCCCCTGAGGACACTGACACACGCCAGCGCCCCTCAGCACAGCTGCACTTGGCTGCAGCCACGGACCCACTGAAGGTTATATCCTTGCACAGGGCGCAGCCCGTGGCAGGTGATTGACATGTGGGGACAGAAAGGGCCAGGCTTCTTGTCTCACTTGGGGACGACCTAGAAGAGCTTCTGGTAGGATCAGCTGAGACCTCAGCTAGGCATCGCAGCCCAGCCCCTCCCCTTGCCCAGCTCTGCCTCCCTGGCTCCCTTACAGGTATGTCTGCAGAGAGAGCCCCTCAACAGACCCTGATTTTCACTTCTGTCTCAGGGGAGCCCCGTCCGGCACCCGTGGCCTGGCCAGCAGGGGACAGCTTGAGTTTCAATAAGTGTTTCGGTTCTCTGTGGCTGTGTGACCAACCACCCCAAAACCCAGTTGCTAAAAATAATGGTTTTGTTTTTGTGTGTTTTTTGCGGTTTTTATGTTTTGTGAAACAGCCATGAGCACCGAATTAGCAAATCCTGAACAACTCCTCAGGGAAATACAGGAGCAGATTCCTGGGAACCTCATTTCACACCATTTTCGTCAGGAGGTCAGTCTATAACTTTATTTTCTGTTTGTTTCTGGTTAAAGGCGTCTTGTTGAATACGCTCGGTTGATTCATTATCATTGAACGCATGGGCAGCAGAAGTGTAAATCACGCCTCCATGAAGCTTCCCTCACATCTGTTTTCTCTGCCGTGCACCTCACAGTGCGGAGTCCTTAGCAACCCTCAGCAGCCCCTATGCGCTATGCCGGGGGGTCATTTTACACAACAAAATCACCAGCAAAAAAAAAAAAAAAAAAAAAAGCACAAAAAAACCCAGAAAAAATGTGGCACTTGACAGATTGGGAACAGGACCTGTGTGTACACTATGAGCTGTGACTAGAAGGCATAGTGCCATCTCATTGACCTCAGCTGAGGACGTTGCTTGCATTGTTGCTGAAGAGATATCTGTCACCCCTCCCTTTGTTCCTCTTACTTAACGTTATCACTGGTTTTGAGCCATTTGATTAAGTTGTGCTTCTGTCTGGTTTCATTCTGTTTCTTGTTTTTGTTTTAGTTTATTTTGAGAGAAAGAATGAGCGGGGGAGGGGTAGAGAGAGAGGGAGAGAGGATCCCAAAAGCGGGTTCTGTGCTGTCAGTGCAGAGCCTGACTTGGGGCTCAAGCTTATGAACTGTGAGATCGTAACCCGAGCTGAAATCAAGAGTCAGACACTTAACTGACTGAGCCATAAGGGAACCCTGTCCTGTTTCATTTTTTTTTTTTAATGTTTTACTTATTTCTGAGAGAGAAAGAGAGAGACAGACAGACAGCATGCACAGGGGAGAGTCAAAGAGAGGAGACACAGAATCTGAAACAGGCTCCAGGCTCTGAGCTGACAGCAGAGCGCCCGACGCGGGGCTGGAACCCACGAACCGCAAGATCATGACCTAAGCGAAAGTCGGATGTTTAACCAACTAAGCCACCCAGGTACCCCTGTATTTTTCATTCTTTTATCTTATTCAATCTTACTAGAATGTCTCTTATTAAGCTTTTCAGAGAACAAAATTCTGACTGTGTTCATCTTCATACTTTTGTCTCTATTGACTTCTGCTGTTATTTCCCGTTTTTCCTTTCTTTCTCCCAAGCCCTGTCTTTGATTTTACTCCGTTGGTCATTTTCACCTTCTGAGTTGCATATTTAGTTCCTTTGTTATCAGTCTTCTTTATTTTATGATATGGTTGAAGCTATAAATTACTTTCTAGAACTACTATAGCTGGATCATATGTGATTTCATATGTAGTGGTTTCATTGGTAGTCATCCTTAAATTGTTATTATTTCTGTCATGAATTCTTTTTTTTTGGTCAAGTTTTTATTTAAATTCTAGTTAGTTAACATATATGGTAAAATTGGTTTCAGGAGTAGAATTTAGTGATTCATCACTTACATATTAATAACACCCAGTGTGGGGCGCCTGGGTGGCTCAGTCGGTTGGGCATCCGATTTTGGCTCAGGTCATGATCTCACGGTTCGTGGATTCGAGTCCCGCGTCGGGCTCTGTGCTGACAGCTAGCTCAGATCCTGGAGCCTGCTTTGGATTCTGTATCTACCTCTCTCTCTGACCCTCCCCTGCTCACACTGTCTCTCTCTCTCTATCTCTCTCAGAAATAAAAAATTAAAAAATTAAAAAAAAAACACCCAGTGCTCATAACAAGAGTCCTCCTTAATGCCCATCACCCACTTAGCCCATCCCCCACCCACCTCCCCTCCAGCAACCCTGTTTATTCTCTATAGTTAAGAGTCTCTTATGATTCGCTTCCCTCTCTCTCTGTCTTTCCCTCCCTTCCCCTATGTTCATCTGTTTTGTTTCTTAAATTTCACATATGAATGAAATCATATAGTCTTTGTCTTTCTCTGACTGACTTGTTTTGCATAGCATAATACACTCTAGCTCCATCCATGTCATTGCAAATGGCAAGATTTCTTTCTTTTTGATCACTGAATAATATTCCATTGTGTATATATATAATATATATACCACATCTTTATCCATTCACCAGTTGATGGACATTTAGTCTATTTCCATAGTTTGGCTATTGTTGGTAATGCCGCCATAAACTTTAGGGTGCATGTGCCCCTTCAGATCAGCATTTTTGTATCCTTTGGGTAAATACCTAGTAGTGCAATTGCTGGGTTATGAGGTAATTCTGTTTTTTACTCTTTGAGGAGCCTCCTCACTGTTTTTCAGAGTGGCTGCACCAGTTTGCATTCCCACCAGCAGGGTAAGGAGGTTCCCTTTTCTCCACATCATCACCAACAGCTTGATTTCCTTTTAAATAGGAGGATCATTTTCTAGGGTTTTGTTTTTGTTTTAGAACTATGGGCTTTTTCACAAAAGTTGATTTTAGTATTATCGATGTATGGCTCAAGAATAGAAGCTATGACATTGGTTCCTTGAGTTTATTAGTCTTCCTTTGTGGCCTTTCTGAATGTTTCCTGTGGGCTCAGTAAGAATGCATGTTCTCCATTGGTAGTTGTAAAAAAAAAAATCATCATACTGCTATCTGGTCAATATTATCAGGTGTCATAGCTAAATAGCCTATATTTTTGCTTAATTTTGCCTCTATAAGGTATCAGCTTTTTTAACATTTATTTATTATTTACATCTACATTTATTTATTTACATAAATACATTACGTTTATTATTACATTTATTTTATTTTTGAGAGACAGAGAGAGAGCAAAAGTGGAGGAGGGCCAGAGAGAGGAGACACAGAGTCCAAAACAGGCTCCAGGCTCTGAGCTAGCTGTCAACACAGAGCCCGATGTGGGGCTCGAACTCACAAACCATGAGGTCATGACCTGAGCCAAGGACAGATGGGTAACTGACTGAGCCATCTAGGCGCTCCATAAGCTATCAGCTTCTTAAAAGGAATGTTTCAAAAACTCTGGTTTTCCATGAAGCTGGTCAGCTGTTGTTTTACATATTAAGGGCTTCTCTGGCATCTTCTTGGTTATTTCTTATTCTTACTGTATATAAATTCCTCTGCCCCGATGTAATCTTTGCCTGAGGTGTTAGGACCTGAAAAAATTGCTATCCCACCTTTCTTTCGCATCAGATTTGTCTGATATTTTGTTTTCTATCCCTTTATTTTCAATGTATCTGTATTTATTCGTTTTAAAGTTATCTCTTCAGATAACTTCAGATAAAGTTAACCCTTCAGTATATTTCTGGACCTAATTATGTTTTGAACAATGTGAAAGTTCTTGTTTGTCCGGTATGTTCAGCCCGTTCACACTGAATTAATTGCAAATGCTATCAAATTAGGACTCAATACTGTTCTTTGGTTTTGCATTTTCTATTTATGATGCATAAGCCAGCAGATCTCTATTTTAAGGTCGATAAAAGCGATGACATCTAGATTGGTTTTCGGTGACTAACCAGGAGGTGGGAACCCTGGAGGTCTAGGGCCTGGGAATGTGCCCCGGTGGCAACTGGGTCCAGCCAACGAGGGCAGGGCCGCGGGCCGCCGCAAGGGGGCGCGCGACAGGGCTGCGACCACCAGCGATTCCATGGCGTCCCGCGGGGGCTTCCTGGGCCACCTGCTCTGGCTCGTGATCCTCCAGCCCCTGCTCGGTGGGGTCCCGGCCGGCTGCAGGCAGCGACTGCAGGCAGCGAGCGGGCGGGGAGGGGTTTAGGCCTAGACCTAGGCCCGGCTGGGCTGTTGGGGAAGAGGGCGTGGAGAGATGGGGGGGAGGGGGGGCAGGGCAGGCGAGGGGTGCGCTCCAACCAGCTCCTATCTCACTGGTTTTCCCCAGGTAAGGGTTACAGCCCCAGCCCGGGTCCTACTTTGACCTGGGGAAGCCCAGAGACCACCTCGCCTCCAGAGCTCCAGACATTCCCCGTGCCAGTATCCACTACAGCTCTAGGCTCTTCAGCGCTCACAGTGGGAGAGACCTGGGAGTCCACCCAGACCACTGGATCCCAAACGTTGTCTCCTCAAGGTACTGCTTCTGTCCGCGTGGGCACAGGCTGCCTGGGAGGCCAGAAGGGAATGCTGCTTGGCTGGGAAGCCGGATGAGTCAGACGCTGTCTTGGAGGGTTTGGGAGGAAACCTGGCTGTGGTCTGGAGGGGGCCGCAGGAGACAGCGGCTTCACCTCCAGTCCCTTCTCTTTGGTGAGCCAACCAGGATGCGGCCACAGGCCTATGCGGGTAGTTGGTGGAGTGCCGGTCCCCAGAAGGAAGTGGCCCTGGCAGGCGAGCCTGCAGATGGAGGGTAAACATGTATGCGGGGGATCCCTCATCGCCAGTCAGTGGGTGATGACGGCTGCCCACTGCATAACTGGGTGAGTGTCAGGGGGCCCTGTGCTTGGGCCCCCCAGGTCAGGCTCTGTGCTCTGGAGCCAGTCTTGTCTCCCCCTCCCTGAGCTTCCTCTTCCTCATCTGGCAAGGAAGTCACAGCCCCTAGTTTTTATTAAGCCTGGCGTGAGACCTGGGAATTTGCCTTTCTACCAAGTTCCCAGGTGCTGCTCTGGTAGTGTTGGGACGTCCTTTGGAGGGCCACTGGCAACAGCGGTCAGGGTCTGGGGACGGGTTGTGGTGTGCAGGCAGGCAGGTGCCTGATGGCTGGCTTCCTCCGAAGGAAGGGCCAGGCTGGGAAGAAAGTGGGACGGGAGTATAGAGCCTCTGGATGGGTGTCAAGGGGATGTCCTTGTCCCACAGCCACAAGAAATACACAGTGAGGCTGGGAGGCAAATCGTTATATCCTAATTCCACAACGACTCTCGTGGTTCCAGTTGAGGACATTGTTTGTCACCGCTCTTTTGATGCTACTACTTTGAGACATGACATCGCCCTTGTTCTGCTGGCCTTTGCTGTGAATTACTCCTCCTACATCCAGCCTGTGTGCCTCCCTGAGAAGGCTTTCCAAGCAGAAACTGGGACAGAGTGCTGGGTGACTGGCTGGGGCCACCTGGCAGAAGGTGAGACTGACAGGTGGGGAGCTGAGGGGGCAGTCTGGTGCCCTGGGGTTGGCCCGCAGCTAGAGGGAGGGACGGGGAGGCTGATTTTCTCCCAGGAGAAGGACGTTCTGCCAGGGAGTAACTGAACCGCATTAAGAATGGCTGTGGGAGGGGTGACTGGGTGGCTCAGTCCGTTAAGCGTCCGACTTCAGCTCAGGTCGTGATCTCATAGTTTGTAGTCAGGCTCTGTGCTGACAGCTCAGAGCCTGGAACCTCCTTTGGATTCTGTGTCTCCCCCTCTCTCTGCCCCTCCCATGCTCATGCTCTGTCTCTCTCTCAATAATAAATAAAAATGTTTAAGAAAATTAAAAAAAAAAAAAAAGAATGGCTGTGGGAATGTTAGCACCTGGAGGCTCAGGGGGTCAGGTGCCAGGGATGGTGGGCTCTTTCCAGCACGGATTTCGGCTCTAGAGTGATGAGCTGTCTTTCTGTGGAAGTACCTGCGGTGACCGCGGGACACTACCCACTGCCCCAGGGTCCTGTGAGGGGGCACAGAGTGTGAGCGCACCGAGCCAGAGCCAGAGCGCGTTTGGGGGCCTCTCTCCACTCATGCAGATCCTACCTGTCTCTTTGTAGTTTTTTTAAAACTATTTTTTAATGCTTATTTATTTTTGAGAGAGAGAGAGAGAGAGAGGGAGGGGAAGAGGGAAACACAGCATCCAAAGCAGGTTCCAGGCTCTGAGCCATCAGCACAGAGCCCGATGTGGGGCTTGAACTTAACAAACTGTGAGATTGTGACCTGAGCCAGAGTCCAAAGCTCAACTGACTGAGCCACCCAGGCGCCCCTGTCTCTTTGTAGGTTTAGCACCGATGCCACTTCCTCTTCAGGAGACTGAACAACACATTCTTCACCAAAAGAAATGCAACCGGATGCTGCGGTCACAGTTAGGGAGGCTTCACAGCATAGTGAAAAAAGGGATGATCTGTGCCTATCAAGATGAGAGCAAGGGTCTCTGTAAGGTCAGTTCATGGCTCCACTGTGGCCTCTGCAGTGAGCACGTCCCCTCCAGCTTTCCCCATTCACAACGGCAGGGCCTCCTGCTCCCTCGTGGCTCCCCGGGGCTGGCCTGGCCTGTTCCTTCACAAGGGGGCAGCCCTTGCTGGCCCGGGGGCACTGCCAAGGTGTGGGGAAGCCAGGGGCAGGTAACGCTAATAATAGAAGTTCCTTTAACCTAGTTCCCCTCCATGGCACTTACTGTGTGGGCCAGCATGGGCATTTACTGCCACCAGCCCTGCGAACCCTCCTCATAACCCTGCGGCATAGACACCGTACCCATTATACAGATGAGGTGGGATCCGAAGATGTCAGCCCCGGGTGCCCCCCGTGGGTGCCTGCAGGACTCCTGGGGCCACGCCTTCCTGCGGCACCAAGTGCCTTCTGGAGGCAGGTCCTAGAGGCGAAGTGTCTGGATTTCTTGGCAAGAGAAAAGCATTGTAGGGAGAGGGAAAAGCATGTGGAGCGGCTCAGAGGCCCGAGGGCACTTGTCATGTTTAGGGAACGTTTTCCAAGTCTGGACTGAATGAGGTGGCAAATGTGGCCAGAGAAGAGGGTTGGAGTCGGAAAACACGTGGCCTGGAGTGCCGGTCCAAGCTTCTAGACGCCATCCAGGGAGGACCGTGGGCTAGGCGTTTGTTTCCGTCATCTAGGCGAGGATGGGGCTGCCAGGGGGTGAAGGAGAGGTGGCCAGGGTTGAATCATGAGTGCTGGGTGACTGAATGCTGTTGAGGGTGGGGCGAGGGAGGGGTAGGAGGGCTGTGTGCTTCTGTCTGAGCTGGTTGGTGCGGGGCCACCAGCGCAGGCCTGGGAGAGGACATGCAGTGCTCTGTGCGGGGCGGGGGGTACATGGGATGTCTGGGACGGTCTGGAGACGGAAGTCATGGATGCTTGGTATTGGACATGTGGGTTTAAGGTCATGGGGAATTTCAGGTTAGAGGTGGGGATTATGGGATCCACCTATGCAGGGTTGATATTTAAAGTATTTCACATCCATTGTGGCCCAGGACTGACCAATCAGAATAGACACCAGCCTTAGTAGAGGGCTCCAGAGGCTGCGTACTGTGCCAGGAGGCACCCACTTGGTTGCTGGGTCATGGGAGGCCTGGAGAGGATCGCAGGGGAGCTCAGGGGCCATGGAGCAATAGGCGTATCCAACGAGAATTTCCATATATCACCAGCAATCCTGCTGTACTGGGGCCTACTGGCTGTACCTCCATGAGCACCTGGGAAGGAGAAGTATTTCTCAGAGGATGTAAAGTTTTCACTTAGTTCTCAACTCTCAAATATCCCCAGATACCCAGGGCTTGGTGGAGGCTCCGGGGAGGTGGTGTGTGCCTGTGTCCCCCGGCCCTGAGGTGTGAGCAGCCAGTTCTGATGTCGATTCTCTTCCATCCCTGTGTTCATTTTCTTTTTTTCCTCTTTCTCCAGGGAGACTCTGGGGGCCCCCTGGTCTGTGAATTTAACGACACGTGGGTCCAGGTGGGGATTGTGAGCTGGGGCATTGGCTGTGGTCGCAGACATTATCCTGGAATTTATACAGAAGTTAGTTTCTACAGGGACTGGGTCGTTGATCACCTGAGTCAAGCCTGCGCTTGGGACTCAGCGGGCTTCTTCATACTTCTGTGCCTGGTGCCGGCGCTGGGCATCCTGGTGGCCCAGTGATCAGCCCGGCCCACTCCCCTCCTGTTTCTGACTCACACACCGGGCGTCTCCTCTGACCTCCCCCTCCTCCTCATTGCCCTTTCCACCCGTGCTGGTTGGGATCCACCGACCCTGTAGAGAGCCCCCCAGTAGAGAGTGGCAGAAGCCTGGGGTCCCTAGCCTGATGTCCCAGTCGCCTGCCTCGGCCACGCCCACGCCTTGGTGAGCTCTGCCTGCCAGGGAGGAGGGAGGAAGGAGAGCTGGCCCCCCAGCCTGCCAGGCGGGGCCCGGTGCTTCCCCGACGACTGGGAGAGCCTCTGCCAAAGAGGAGACCTCATGCCAGCGAGACAGCGTTCGGCCTGGGCGTGGGCTCGGGACTCACCTGAGGGTCAGCGTGGTGATTGTGCAGAGAGAGCGAGGAGGCGTCCCCACGGCCCTGCTGAGGTCTGAGGCCTGGGGGTTCTGCAGCTGACCCGGGTGTCTGGGGCTGGGCCAAGTTCCCCCGTACCCAGGGCGGATCCACCTGTGTGTGCCACCCAGGCCCTGTGCCACACAGGCCCCGTGCTGGGGCCCCCTTCCCCCAGTACCCAGTGGCCACGTCCCGGCTCACCCCAAGTTGTGTGGAGGCATTGAGTGTGGAGATCTTAGATGTCAACCGAATAAACGTTTGTAGCATATTATTTGTTCTGAAGTTCTGTTCTCCTGAAAGTTGTGGGGGTGCCTATAATATGCTCTGTAGAGAACTAGTTTCCAATTTAGCAAAGAAACTATTCATGGTTTTTATTAAGCCCTTGAGGGAGCGGCGAGTCCTCACCTGCTCAGATGGGGGTCCCCTGAATGGTTTTAGCTTGCTGGCTCCTGCTCCCTGTACTCAGCATGTTTGCCTGGAGCTTTGTAGCTTAATTTAACAGCCCCTGCAGCTCAGAAGAGAGGTCACAGGAGCCCAGAATTGGGAGCAAGAATGAAGTTAGGGCACAAGAAGTAATCCTTCTCCTCTGCTTCTTCCACTTGCTGCTGTCGCTGCCCATTTTGTTAACAAACATCTGTGTTCTCACCTGGAAGAAGGCAAGGGAGACTTGCTGTATTAGGCACTGGTTCATTACCCTTATTCTCTGGCTCAGTCTCTCTCTCTCTATGGCTTCTGATCAACCCCTCCCGGTCTCCTGTCCCCTGTCCTTCTAGGGGTCAGTGTTTTAGCTCCTATATATCTGTGGGCTCAGAGGGCATTCAGTGTCAATCCTATATGTTGCGGGAGGAAGGCTGCGGTTGGGACTGAGCTTACAGCCAATCCAGATTATTAATAAGTGTTGAACCATCGGCTTTAAGAAACCACTGAATATAGGGGCGCCTGGGTGGCTTAGTCGGTTAAGCGTCCGACTTTCGCTTAGGTCATGATCTCGCAATTCGTGGGTTCGAGCCCCGCGTCGGACTCTGTGCTGACTGCCAGCTCAGAGCCTGGAGCCTGTTTCAGTCTGTGACTCCCTCTCTCTCTCTGACCCTCCCCTGCTCACGTTGTCTCTCTCTCTCTCTCCTAGAAATAAATAAAACATTAAAAAAAAAAGTCACTTAAAAAAAAAACCACTGAATGTAAATAGATTAACACAAAAAAATTAACTTCTTGTTCTTAAAACATCCTAATCAAGTTCTTGGGCGGCAGGTAGATTTTCCCCATCTTATGGCTCCACTCATTCCTGTGCTTGGTGCTTTAACTGCATCAGAATTCCCCGGAGGGCTTGTTAACATGAGGGTCACTGCTTCTGCTCCTAGAATTTGAAGTCCTGGAGTTCTGGGGTGGGGCCTGAGAACGACATCTCTAACAAGTTCCAAGTGATGCCTCTCATTAACAGGAGTAGAGAAGGCAGCTTCCTCTTGACTAGGCCTTGATATGTATGTGGTACACATCACTTCTACTCACCTGCTTTCGTGGGAACTCCTTATGTGGACCCCCTGAGATACCAGGCAGGGGAATGTGGTCCCAGAGCTTGACACCTCCCCCCCCCCCCCCCCCCCCCCCCCCCCCCACTAAATAAGAGAAGGTGGAATCTTGGTGGGTCAGTTCCCAATCTCTGTCACACCCAGCAGATGCAAAGACGGCGTATCTTTCTGGAAAAATGCTCTGAAAGCCCAAGGCCCGGTATATGCCATCATCTCTTTCAAGTGCAACCATCCTGTTGATGGTCTGTGGAAGTGGAGACATGGCTTTTCTTTCTCAGCACTTCCCCAAGAGTTCTCCATCCAGTCTTAGGTCCAGCTCACTTTCATAAGGACGTCTTCCCAGAGTGCCTAGCCTTACTGTTCCTTTCTTGTGCTTTCTACATCTTTCCAGACTCTCAAATCAATATGAATTGTGAACCTTTCCAATGCACCAAGCCCAGGGTGGGCACCAAGGCTGGGCAACCAGGTAGCCTCAGTGGTCCTGGGAATTCGGGTGGGCCTTCACTAGCCAGATTGTGGGGACACTGTTACCAGCTTAAAGCAATTGGTAGTGTTTTCATGGGGTTGGTCACCCGAGGGGCAATCACAGATCAAGGGCTCTGAGGGGACTTTCCAGGAAGGGGCACGAGGGATGTGAGTGCAGATGCCAGAAATGTGCCTGTGGGCGCGGGGAAGGTTTGGCGCATGGTCACGTGCTGGAGAGGCTGTCACGTGACCGTACCCGCGTCACGTGCTAGAGGCGCCCTCGTGCGTCGGGACTCGCGACGCCGTGTGTCTGGGCCTCTAGGTGTCACCCCTCGGGCCTCATGGCCGCCTCGCTGCCGTTCGGCCACCGTGCTGGGCCTGGAGCCTCGGGGGCCCGGGGTCTGAGCCGCCGCCTCCTTCTGCTGCTGCTGCTGCCGCCGCTGCTGCACTCGGGTGAGGCGGAGCGTCCTCGGGGGCCGGCCGTGTGTGTTTGTGTGCCCCGTGTGTCCTCTGCCACCTTCCCCTCCCCAGGCCCCGGGACCCCCGCCCCCACCCCACACTTCAGGGCGGACCCCTTGGTGTGGCTAGCTCTTTGACTACCTGGGACTCTGTGGACCCCGCCTCCCTATAGTCACCTGTCCTCCAGTGCCACCCCCCAGAATGGCGCCAGACTCCTGTCACCCTGGCCTCCCTCAGGCGCCTCCCTCCCTGCAGCTCCTGGAGACCTGCAGTGCGGAGGACCTCCTGCATTTTCTCTCGACGTGCTGCCATTTCCTCCCCTGTCCACACGGCCTGGTGGCCGAGACCGAGCCACCCTCCCCGGCATGGTCTGTCTTTCCCCTCCCCAGCTCCCAGGCTGCTGCGCATGCGCTGCGAACCAGATGCGCGTGGGCTCAGAGCACTGAAACCAGGATCCCGCTACCCACCTGCGTTCTCCCCTGGCCCACTCTTCCCGCTGGCGCCCCTCTTGTCGCCCCGAAGACACAGGCCCCCAGGTGCTGTCCTCTTTGAGTGCTTCCAGCCCCCAAGGGCCCCTGCAAACCCCACTATTCGACACCATCCCCCCCATTGTTACTTTAGCAGTCAGAGAGATACCTCGTGTTCAAGGTCAGCCTGCTGACCCTGCCCTGGACCACAGGCCCAGCCCGCGATGTGTTGGCTCCGTCATATTCTTGTAGCTCTCCATCCTCTGCCTCCCTGTCTGCTGTGCTGCTTCTCCCGGGGCCTTCCCCGTCGCTGCCAGATTTCTCCAAGTAACAGTGTCCGCTTGGTGCTGCCCTTCCTCTGCCTCCTCGCTTCTCCCGTAATCTGCAGCCCATTCCCTCCGTGCCTCTGCCCTGCTTGTCCCTGACTTTGCTACCACTTCTCCGTTTTCATTTTTCCCAGTCCCTTGGCTTCTCGGCCATACCTCCAGATTCTCCTCTGACAGACCTCAGGGTAACTCCCTTGCTCTGAGTGCTTCCCCGGGCCACTCATGCCCTGAATGTCCCCGTCCCCTGTGGTGCTGTCTGGGTTCCCTCTTCACTTGCCCCGGGCACTGAGCTGCAATTCATGTGATGCCGCCCCACAAAACAGCCTGTCTGCGTGCGCAGCTACCTGCCGGATGACCTAGAAACATCTCAATTCCTTGAGGTGCAAAGCCGAGGCTTTCATCTGACTACAGACTGGGTTTTCTTATTCTGTTCTCAATTCTGTGGATAGGAGGCACTGTTCCCTAAAATCCGACACCAGGGGTTATCCGAGACCTGGCCATCTGCCGGTATCCCACAGCCATGCCTGTCCTCACTGTCACTTCCTTGCGTAGACTACCTCCTTCTTTGCCTGTGTCCTCGGGAGCCTCTCGTGGGGTCTCATGGCCTTCAGTCTTTTTTTTTTTTTATTTTTTAATGTTTATTTATTTTTGATAGAGAGAGAGAGAGAGAGAGAGCAGGGGAAGGTCAGAGAGGCAGGGAGACACAGAATCCAGAATAGGCTCCAGGCTCTGGGGTCTCATGGCCTTCAGTCTTTTTTTTTTTTTATTTTTTAATGTTTATTTATTTTTGATAGAGAGAGAGAGAGAGCGAGCAGGGGAAGGTCAGAGAGGCAGGGAGACACAGAATCCAGAATAGGCTCCAGGCTCTGAGCTGTCAGCACAGAGCCTGATGTGGGGCTCAAACCCACAAACTGTGAGATCATGACCTGAGCCAGAGTTGGATGCTTAACTGACTGAGCCACCCAGGCGCCCCTCATGGCCTTCAGTCTTATCATCTTCCTACTTAGTCTTCACAATTCAAGCCCGCCTATGTCACCCTCCCACTGGCCTCCCTCCTCCCTGAGGGTCTCTTTGCTTCTCAGCCCTAGCTTAGGAGCCTCCCGCCTCCCCCCAGCCCTGCCCTGTGATTGACCCCTGACTTTGCTCCATGGCATCATTTCTTGATCATAAAGCCTTGCCCTTTCTTCTCTGGAGCTCTGGCATACACCATGGTGTTTCTTTCACCAGGAATGTCATTGTCGCTCTTCTCTTTCCCTCTTTTTCATCTCTAAAGCCTAGCACAATAGCCCTTCTCACAAGTGTCCTCGTCCACCACTTCCTCTGGGCTCCCCTGACACCTGTGGCCTGGTCCCTGCATTGATCTCACACAGGCGACTGTGTGCTTACTTCTGTCTCCCCTGCTGGACAGCATGTTCCTAGAGGGCACATACAGCCGGTGTCTGTTTCATACACTCGGTCCCCTCCCTGGCCTCGGGCTCCAGGCTGGGAACTGAGTGAGAGATGAGGGAATATTTGGGGAACGAACAAATTAACTAATTCGTGACCTCTTGCTTCATCTCTGTTCCCCTTTTCTCCTCCAGGTTATAAAGAAAACAATTCCATGCCAGGTGGGTAGGGTGAGCCCCTGCTCTAGGAGAACCTCAGCTCCTGGGAGGGTGTGTCCTGAAGAGGGTCCCCCAGATAGTGTTTCTGGGTGTGTAGGAAGCAGGAATTTAGTCTGACCATCTGCTTTCGGAAGGGCCTTTTTCCTTAGATGGCAGGGATGGTGGGGTAGATTACTTCTGCTGTTCAAGGCCTTCTGTTGGCAAGGCTCCTTCCTGATTTATGAATTGCTCAGTTGATTAAGTTAGCTGTTCCTGCTTATGTCCATGCCCCACTGCTCGTCTCGCCTCCCCCCGCCTTTCAACCTTTTCTCTATGTTCAGTGTGTATCTCTGCTTGTGCGTGTTCTCGTCAAAATGCGCATTGTGGTTTTGTGTGCATGTATTTTTAACTTACATTAAATGGTATATTCTCTAGATCCCTTTCTGTTTCCTCCAACTTACAGAACACTGAAAATACAAATAGGTCAAGGAACACGCGCATCATAGTTTTCAGATTCAGTTGAGGGTAACATACACCATGACTCCTTCTCTCTAAATACGTAGCTGTGTGTTTCTAAGAATATTCCTTTAGCTAATTGTAATATCAACTTATCAACTTATTACTTATCAACTACTTATCAACTTCACACAATAACATCGATACCATACTTTTATCTGTTGTCCATAATCTTGTTTGGTGAGCCCTCTGCATTCCTATCAGCCTACCAACCAGCATGACTGAAGCTTTTATCTGTTTTTGCCAATCTCATAGATGAAAAATGGCTTTTTGATTTAATTGACATTTTTCTCATTATTAATGAGTTTCGGCATGTCTCATGTGCTTTTAGCCTCTCGAGTTTCTTCTTCTAATAAATTGCCCTTATCCTATGTGTATTGTCTCTTGTTCTTTTTTCCTTGTTGACTTCCTAGAGTTCCCTGTGTGTTCCTAATGAAAGTCTTGTACTGATTTTAGATAATTGTAAATATTGCTTCCCAGTCTGTCATTAATTTGATTAATCAAATTGATCATTTGATGCTTTATAGATTTTTAAAAAATGTTTATTTATTTTTGAGAGAGAGAGAGGTTGCAAGCCAAGGGGGGGCAGAGAGAGAGGGGGAGACAGAGGACCCAAGTGGGCTCTGCAGTGCACAGAGCCCATCAAGGGGCTCAAACCCATGAACCGTGAGCTCATGACCTGAGCCGAAGTCGAATGCTTAACCAACTGAACCACCCAAGCTCCCCTGTGGATTGTGTTTTGAGGTTTTGTTTAAGGAGCCTTTTCCCACCCCATTTCACGTGGTCCACTGTTAACTTTACATTTTTGCTTTCCTGTTTAGGTCTTCCAGTGCTGCTAGGAAGGAATCCAGTTTTGTTTTTCTTGTTTCTTTTGTAGTGAGTCAGTTTTCCCAGCACCATCTACTCAACACCCATCTTCCACCCACCGATGGTGGTGGCTCCTTTATTTACATTAAATTCCCCGTGTTCCCAGAATGACCTCAGGCTCTCTGTTCTTTTCCATTGCTTCCATCTGTCAGTCCTTGTCAATGCCATACTCTTGTTATTACGGTTTTGATGTGTGTCTAGATATTTGAGGGGACAAATGTCCCTTTATGTTCTACCCTTTCAGGGACTGAGCTATTCATAGCTTTGTTTTTCCATGTCAGTTGTAGAGTAAGTTTATAAAGTTTCCTAAAATTCTAACTTGGAAAATGACTTTATAGATTAACTCTGGGAAAAATTATATCTGAAATGTCTAGTTGTTTATTTAAAAGCAAGCGCTGTCTCTCCGTTTGTGCTGATCATTTTCAGCGTCCTTTATCAGAGTCTAAAATGTATCACCACAGAAGTTTGGCGTAGTGTGTATTCCTCGGTGCCTATGATTTTTTGTTATCAAAAATGTGTCTTGTTTTGAATATATTTTCTAGTGGATCATACTGGAGTAGAGAAGTGTTATTGATTTAAAAAATCAGTTGTTGAAGTATTATACACAGAAGTACACAAATTTTAAGGGTCCAGCTCAGGAAATGATCACATAGGGGACACACCTATGTAATCAGTGCCTTGGTCAGAAAGTAGAGCAATGCCAGGAGCCAGAGGCCCCCTTCTGCTCTCTCGGTCATTGTCTGTCTCCCTCCCACGAAGTACCGTCATTCTTGGCTTCTGACAGCATAGCATCTTTTTGCGTGTCCCTTAATGTTATATGGTGTTTGCTGTAGGTTTGTGGCATCTACCTTTGGTTAAGGATTTCCTTTCTATTCCTACTTTGCTTAGTCGTAAGTATGTGTTGAATTTTTCAGATGTCTTTTTCTGTGTCTACTGAGAAAAGCATAGGATCCTTCTCTTTAGAGAAAAAGCATTGTTTGTGTGGAGAATACACTAAGGGCCCGTCCATTGTGGGGCCCCCCTTTGCACTCCTGAGATAGTTGCTACCTGATTGTGGTGCCTTGTTTTTTCAAAATATAACACTGAGTAATATTTTATTTATAGTTTTTGCACCTGTGTGCACTCATAGTCGTACAACGTGGTTGTTGGAAGTACACACAGACTGAGGCCGCGTAAGCTGTGAGCGGGCTCCATCGCTCGGTGCGGAGGCTCTTTCTTGAATGGCCTGTGTGCAGATTTCAGACACAGAAGTCTGGAGCTTTTCTTAGCTCTGAGTGGCATGGGGACAGAGGCCTTTTGCATCTGAGAGATACAGTAAGCATTATGGCCTCTTGGGAACATGGCCTGGGACTTCCCTGAACACAAGAGAGTGCATTTCTCGTCCTGGGGCTCCTTCCGTGCTTCTCCTTGTTTTGAGGTTCCCTGCGACCCACTCCCTGTTGTCTCATTATCTCCCTCTCTCCTGTGATGTCTTTACGTCTCTGTCTTGAAGCCTTTCATCTCTGGCATTGTCATTTTTTTCGTCTAGCACGGTGCTTTTCTCTCACCCTGTCTTCCCATCTTTGAAATGAGGACAAGACCCTGAATGTACAGCTTTGTGCAGATTGTCCCGGGGTGCGGGGCCTTTTGGTCTCAGTTGTCCTCATCCTCCAACATGTGGTCACTGTGTCTCCCCGGCACCCATGTTCCTGAAGTTTGTGGTAGACCCTGGTGGTCGGAAGATTTGGACATGACCCGACATTGGCCCTGGGAGGTGAGCCTCCGGCTGGAAAATGAACACATATGTGGAGGAGCCCTCATCGATCTCACCTGGGTGGTGACTGCTGCCCACTGCATCCAAGGGTGAGTGTGACCCGTGTGCCCACGGCCTGGAGACCCAGGGCTGCCATTTCCTTCTCATTTCCTCTGTGAAACAATGTGGGAGTTGGGAGGTAAGGGGAGAGTAGGAAGGGATATCCCGAATGGGGAAAGGTCCTGCTCAAGTCTCACAGGGTGCCAGGGGCTGAGTTGGGGCAGGAGACCCAAGCAGCAGTGACTGTGTCCTGAGCAGGGTGACAGGAAAACTCAGCATACGCTCCCCCACTCCCCGTATACCTCCCGCACCCCTGATGCACATGAGGACACACACGTACAGCAACACCTGTGTGCTTGCATACACCGCACACAGATGAGGCCACCTTGAATCAGCTTGAACAGTGAATGAGGAGGCAGCCATTTCCCTGACTCCGATAGCCTCCAGGCTGGATTAGCAAGATGGAGTGAGCAGAGCACATCAGGCAGGGCTTCTGCCAAGGGAGGGGGTCTTCGGTGGAGGTTGGAGCATTGCGTTGTTCTGTTCGGGAGCCTGACGCCGAGTGGCTGGGGCTGCCTGTCTCCCCCAGCACCAAAGAGTACTCAGTGATTCTCGGCACCGCCAAGCTGAAGCCCGCAAACTTCTCGAAGGCTGTCTCGATCCCCGTGAGGGACATCATCGTGCACCCCAAGTACTGGGGCCGGACCTTCATCACGGGTGATGTCGCCCTTCTCCAGCTTCAGACTCCTGCCACCTTCAGCAAGTACGTGCAGCCTATCTGCCTCCCAGAGGCCAGCTACAACCTGAAGGTTGGGACACAGTGCTGGGTGACCGGCTGGGGCCAGGTTAAACAGCGCTTCTCAGGTGAGCACGATGGGTTGAGGGTGGGGAGTGGAACCACAGAGGGCGCGCTCCCTTCCTTCTGGGGCCTTGTCTGCTAGACCCCTTCATGGTGCCTCTCAGGAAGCCTGTGGCTGTCCCCTCTGGGCCCTGCTTCTTCGGACGTGCTAAGACTGTCCTCACGATTTACACCATCAGGCTTGCTGTGGGCACCTCGTGTAGGTCATGCGGTGCCTGGGCTGGGCATGATCTTTTGCCTCTTACAGAGCTGGGGGTCAGGGATCATAAATGTACTCACTCGCTCATTCATTCGCCTGACAAGCCTCTGGCACACCCCAGCCCCCTTGCAATGGGAGCACTTACCTTCCCCGCGGGGCACCATAACTGAGTGGGAGTGGGGGCCGGGCTGGCAAGGAAAGAGGCAAAGACTTTGTCAGGGGATCTCAAGATCAAGCCGGGAGGGATCTGGGATGAGGGTCTGTCTGAGAAGCCTGAAGGAGGAGCGTCTATTAATCAGGTGACAGAGGGCACAGCCAGTGCAGAGCTCAGAGGCTGGAGGGAAGCAACATGTGTTGCGAGGAGGGGGGGGGTCTCAGCCTGTGAGTAGTTGCATTGAAACTTGGATTGTGGCCTCCTTGGTTCACAAGCAAAAGCTGCCCAGGGAGAGGGGTTCTGAAGGCCTCAGAGGGTGGGTGAGGGGCTCACCAGACATGGTCCACACTGCAGGGAGAGACAGGTGAGAGAGGGCACAGGTGTGTGCAGGGATGTGACGTGGCCGAGTCTCAGAAATGGAGGCGATAGGACGCTGGGGAGAGGCCAGGGCCGAGCGGAGCGAGAAGTCCTTTCTCAGCCCTCTGGGCTCCTCCACAGTGAACTCCACACTCACACCAGAGCTGCAGGAAGCCGAGGTGTTTATCATGGACAACAGAAGGTGCGATCGGATTTACCGCAGGAAGTCTCTCGCCCCCCGCCTCATCCCCCTTGTCCTGGGAGACATGATCTGTGCCACCAATTACAGAGAAAACTTGTGCTCCGTGAGTTTCTGGGAGGTTCTGGCAGCTCTTCTGTCGGCAGTGACTCCCAGGGTGGGGGCGGGGGAGGTTCCCGGGGAGGGGTATGCTTGGCCTCCCTCCCGGTCAGCATGGCCAGGCAATGCCCTGCTCCCGCCTCCTGTCCCCTGGGACTTTGATTCTGCCTGGTATTCTGGGATGGGTCTGCAACTGAGGAGCTGAAGGAGGAGCCCATGTAGTGAGATCCTCGAGGAGTGAAAGCATCTTCCAAGCAGAAGTCAGGGTGGGCATTCTGGGTCCTCTGGGGTCCTGGGGCCCAGCGGGGCCCAGAGCTTCCATTGTTCCTCTCTCTTTGTCTAGGGGGATTCTGGGGGCCCGTTGGCTTGTGAAGCCGAGGGCATGTGGATCCTGGCTGGGGTGTTGTCCTGGGAAAAGGCCTGTGCCAGAGCGCAGAATCCTGGTGTGTACACCCGCGTCACCAAGTACAGCAAATGGATCAAGAAGCAAATAAGTAACGGGGCTCCCTCAGGCCCCCAGAACTTGGCCTGGCTTCTGCTCCTGATATGGCTGCTGCAGCCCCCGATGGGCTCCTGATCTCCCTTCTGTCTCCTTCCTGCCTTACCTGTGCTGTACAGGTCCAGATCTAGGGTAGACCGAGGTCCTGTGTCAACAATCAAGAGTCAAGGTGGGGAGAGTGGCCCCTGGGAAGATGGAGCCCTGCTTTGGTTTCCCAGTGGGGAGGGGTATGGTGCATGATTAGGCCTTGGGTGACCAAGACAAGGGACGTGCATCCAGAAAAGCTCTGGAATCGGGGACCAGGACAGCCAGGAATAAATTTGTGCAAATGTGAGCTGGCTCTGTTCTTTTTTTCTGGGTGACCCTGGGCGGTTGGGCTGAGTGGGCAGGCAGGGCCTCCTGGGATGAATTCTGCCGGCAGGTTCCCCAGAGTGGAGGCTGATGGTTTTTGCTAGATCACTAATGCAAGGCCATAGGCAAAGGGCCTGGGCCTCAGGCCTCAGTTTCCTCATCTGTAAACTGGGCCTGCTGGAAGGGGGCACTTGAAGCATGCCCTGCAGGCTGAGGGTCCCACCCAAATATAGCTTACTTTTTGTTTTAAAATGAAAATTATACCATTTATTTCATGATCTCTGCCTGTGACCCTCAACACAGTGTGAAATAGCCATGATAGGGAGCGGAGTGTGTGTATCTCAGGCTTCATATGGCTCATAGATAGTTATTGGGATACTCCTCCATGTTGGGCACTGTTTTGGGCCCTGATGATGCAGTCATGAACTATTAGGATGATTATATGGTTTCTCTTATTTAATTTGTTCTCATCATGAAATTCATTACCAAATCTCAGTAGATTTCTTTGGTAAATCCCATAACCCACGTTGTGGGTTCAATTTGCTGGAATTTTGTTTAGAATTTCTGTCCCAGTGTTGGATTGGCCTCTACCTTTCCTTTCTGTTGCACCATTTCTTCTAGGTTGGTGTCATTGCCGTGCTAGCCTCTTAAAACATGGTGAGAAGCTTTCTAGTGTTTTCCTGTGCCCCAGAGAAGTTTCTGTAACAGCAGCATTGTCTTTTCCTTGGGTTTGGCAGATTGTGCACATAAAACCCACTGGGCCTGATAGCTTTTTTAAGAGAGAGACAAATCTTTGACTATTTAAAAACTACCTTGTATAGTTATTGGCCAAGTTGAGTTTCTTATTTCCTTTTGCATTAAGTTTAGTATAGAAAATCACTTACTTTAGCTTAGATTTCTTTTTTTTTTAATTTTAGCTTAGATTCTTTAAAAAAAAATTTTTTTTAATGTTTTATTTTTTTCTGAGAGAGAATGAGAGAGAGACAGCATGAGCAGGGGAGGGTCAGAGAGAGAGAGGGAGACACAGAATCTGAAACAGGCTCCCGGCTCTGAGCTGGCTGTCAGCACAGAGCCCGATGCGGGGCTCAAACCCATGAACTGCAAGATCATGACCTGAGCCGAAGTCGGACGCTTAACCGACTGAGCCAGGTGCCCCTAATTTTAGCTTAGATTCTTATATTTCAAACTGATGTATAAAGTTTGAACCTGTGGCTTCTTTCCCATTTCTAATATTATTTATATAGATATGCTTGCCCTTTTCTTAATACTTAAAGATTAGAATTGCCAGATTTTTGTGTGTTTCATAGGTGTTTTTAAAAATCCATCTGGTATGCCTTATTACTTAGCTTCATGGTATCCATCCGTCCCTCATATGACCCATGTCCTGGTCAGTGGCCTGGCCTGCCCCCTCTGCTGTGCTGTTCGTGTTCTTCAAGGGGGAAGCTGTCACACTCCCAGCTCCCAGGAAGGGTGGCTCCTTGGTCTGGCCGAGTTAACATGGTGCAGTGCCCTGGCTACCCAATGCCAGGTGGGTCACCCAGGCAGCCTAAGGCACAGATAGAGACATGCATGCCCTTTCTCTGAATGTGGAGGAGGAAACAGAAGCATGTGGGCTGTTGACAACCATTTTTTTTTAAGTTTTAATTTAAATTCCAGTGAGTTAGCATACAGTATAACATTTGTTTTTGGTGTGCAGTATAGTGATTCAGCACATCCCTGCATCACCTCGTGCAACTGGCAACCATTTTTCACCAAAAGAACCAACTCAGGATAAAGTCACCACCAGTGAAGAGAAGACACAAATTTTAAGCCTATTTGAGTGGAAGTCTCTTACTGGGGACTCCTAAATAGTAAAAACTAACTTCTGGTATTAGTGCTCAAATCTGCTTTTTGTTTATTTTATTAAAGCTCTTTTAGCCTTAGTATTTCTGTCTGCTTTTGGGAGATTTATTTTACTGTCCTTTTCCTAACTTCTTGAGTAGGGTGCTTACTCAGTTATTACAGGCTTCCTTGGTTTCTAATATTTTTACTTAACTGTGTAAAATTCCCTCCGAGTCTCACTTTGACCATATTTCATGGGATTTGTTATGTGCGGAGCTCCTTATCATTCATTTCTGTATTGTTTCTGATTTCATGCTACATATGTTTTTAAGATTTTATCCAAACTTTGTTATGGAACAATCATTTCATGCAGTTTTAGTCATATTTCTTCTTTTATGTGAAAGTAATTCTTGGGTACCTGGGTGACACATTTGGTTGAACATCCAACTCTTGGTTTTGGCTCAGGTCATGGTCTTATGGTTTGTGAGATCGAGCCCCGCGTCAGGCTCCTTGCTGAGCATGGAGCCTGCCTGGGACTCTTGTTCTCCTTCTCTCTCTGCGCCTCCCCCCTCAAAATAAATAAATAAACTTTGAAAAGAATAATTCTCTTTTGTATAGAATTTATTTCAAACTATTTTGCAACCCATACTTTCCACTGTAAACTATTAATCTGAATAAGTGATGGTTTGTTATAATTGGGGATTATACAGGTAATAATTAGGCAAAACTTGTCGGCAAATATTGTTGCTGAACCTCTTGCTATATTTTTTATTTAATGCCAAGAGTTACATAGAAGGGTACTCTTTAATTTCCTGATAGCTTGTTTGGGGGAGGATGGGTACTTCTTTTCTTTCCCCCTATTAAAACTTATATCACAATGTGGATTTAATTACTGTTATGTTTTGGAACTTATTGTTTTGTTTTTTTTAAGTTTTAACATTTTTTATTTATTTCTGAGAGAGAGAGACAGTGTGAACAGGGGAGGGTCAGAGAGAGAGGGAGACACAGAATCTGAAAGTCTCTAGGCTCTGAGCTCGGTGTCAGCACAGAGCCCGACGCAGGGCTCGAACCCACAAACTGTGAGATCATGACCTGAGCCGAAGTCAGATGCTTAACCGACTGAGCCATCCAGGCGCCCCTATTGGGGTTTTATTTGTGCCTAGTATTTGGTCAATTTTAGTGAAAGATTCATGTGTGTTTGAAATGAAAGCCTGTGTGTTTTGAAACAAAGCTCTAGCCGTAATGGATTGAATTAGGTTTGTTGATTGTATTATTCAGATTCTCTCCACACTTCAGATATCTTATGTCTATATAATCCATTGATTTCTGAGAGATTTACCACAGGAGTTAAGACTCCTTTTTGCAATTCTAGCAATTCTTGCTTTCTGTTTCAAACTTATGTTGCTAAGAGTGCAAAGTACATGTTCACTGTACCCTTGTGGTGGGTTGTTCCCTATCCATATAAAATTTGCCATTGATGATATTTGTTTTTTCAAAGATCTGAATCATAGAATTCATTCCTAATTCTGCTGTTCTAATTGATGTTATGTTTTGTACCTATTTCCTAAAGGTTTTCCTTGGGTTTATTTTAGACCTTTTATAGTTTCTTTTTTTAAAAACTTTTTTTAATGTTTTATTTATTTCTGAGAGAGAGGGAGAGAGACATCGTGAGCAGGGGAGGGTCAAAGAGAGAGGGAGACACAGAATCTGAAACAGGCTCCAGGCTCTGAGCTGGCTGTCAGCACAGAGCCCAACACAGGGCTCGAACCCACAAACTGTGAGATCATGACTTGAGCCGAAGTCAGACGCTTAACTGACCGAGCCACCCAGGCGCCCCATAAGCCTTTTATAGTTTCTTGATCTGAGCATTTAATTCACTTTCATTCTTTGTTATTCAATGATAAATACCTTTAAGGCTGTGGATTTGCCTTGAAAACACCCAGTAAGTTTTTAAACTTTTTTTTTAAATGTTTTATTTATTTCTGAGAGAGAGAGAGAGACAGCGTGAACAGGGAAGGGTCAGAGAGAGAGGGAGACACAGAATCTGAAACAGGCTCCAGGCTCTGAGATAGCTGTCAGCACAAAGCCCGACATGGGGCTCAAACCAACGAACCATGAGATTATGACCTGAGCCAAAGTCGGACGCTTAACCAACTGAGCCACTCAGGTGCCCCACACCCAGTAAGTTTTTAATGCATTACTGTAATTACTAACATTTTTCTAAAGAGTTTATAGAATCTTACTTCTTCAAAATAAGTTAACGAAGTTTATTTTTAAAAACTTCAGATAAGTTGCTCACTCTTGTCATTAAATCATTGTTTCATTGATTGCATCATGATACAAAAGTGTGGCCCAAACTGTTCAGCTTTTAGGGAAGTTATTGTGATGTTCTTGGTAGTCTCGTGTGTGGTTGGTTTTTATAGCTATTCTACTCCCCAAAGACAGGACTGGAGAAGGCTGTCCCCTACAGGTGAGGTTTTTCAGTTTCTCATGTATCATTGAGTGACTTTGCTTTCTAGGTTTGATGCTATGTGATCCATGGACATAATTTTATGATGTTACATAGTCATTGGCATTTTCATCTTTTCCTAACATAAAGTAACTTTCTTTTTCTGTTCGAAGCGTTTGTCATGAGTCACGTTTGTTTGTTTCCTTCTTTCCTCTCTCCTGCCCTTCATCCTTTCTTTCAGAGCTTCACAGTCAGTGTGGAGTCCAACATGGGGCTTGAACTGATAGCCTTGAGATCAAGACCTGAACTGAGATCAACAGTCAGATGCCTAACCAACTAAGCCACCCAGGTGCCCCCTGAATCACATTTCTAGAGATAAACATTGCCATTTCTATTTTCACTTACATTTACTCACTATATTTTTGCCTTTTTGCTTTCAACTGCTTCATGTCACTATGTTTTAGGTGGGTACTTGATAAGTAGCACATGAGTGGACTTTTTTCCTACCCAAGGTCAGAATCTTTTATTTTTAAAAATGGAGAGTTTTTGTATTCACATTGGTAGTGATGATGGATCTGATGGTCTTAATTGAACTATCTTATTTTGTTTTATTGATTGATTCCCCTAGCATATTATTTTCAACAAAGGCAGCAGAATAGATAGGGTTTTTCTTCTCTGGTAGGGAGGGGTCCCAAGGCATTTATTCTGCTGACTCATGAAGACCCAGGCCTGCAAGCTGCTTCCCCTTAGGAAGCCATGCTACCAGGCCCCAAACACCGGGCCTCCCTCTACCCAGGAGCTGTTTTCTTGAAAATGCAGAACCTATGGGAAAAAAGGAAAACTCCAGTTCCATTCAGTAACCCACAGCAGGAACTAGCCATCCCCTGCTCAGTGCCTCAGTTTCCACACCTCCAGGCTGCCCTGAGAAGGGTTTCCTGAAGGAGACTGGACTGAGCACTGGGGCCCATGGGTGCTGTAACAGGCTCAGGACTGGGCATACAGGGGCACCATCAAGGCCAAGGCTGAGCCTGTGGGGTACTGTCGTGGGCCAGACACCAGGTGCTGTTATGGGCTCCGGGCTAGGCACCGGGAGCGTCGTTCCAGGGAGGCGTCTCCAGCAGCATCCCGTTGTGGCCCCGGTAGGACGTTGCCAGGACCACACTGTCTCCTTGTCAGGATCCTGCTGCTGCCCTAGCTGGGTGAGCCTCAAACCCTGGGGCAGAGGCCCACTCCCTGCCACTGTGAATAAACAAACCATGAGTTCTAGAACTCTCCCACAGTGGAGATGCCCTGCCCCACCCTGCCCCCACGTCCCATTATGAGGGCCAGTGCAGGCCGGGCACCTGCCAGCCATGGCATGTGGGCCAAGAGATCTTCAGAGCCTCACATCTCCAATTTCTTCTGCCAAACTTGGAAATTCCTTCTTTTTAGAAGGTAGGACTTTCTCCCATGGGGGAGAGGCGGTGGAGGGCCTGGGTTCTGTCCTCATGCCTGAATGTGTCCATATCCTGATGGGCACATCCTCACCAGATTGCAGTGTGCCAACTTAGGGGCCCAGATAGTGTGGAAGCACTTCCATTTGGTAAGGGTGACCATGAACACAAGGGAAGAGCCTTATTAGAAATTGGGGAACAGGCTGACAGCCGGGGACCAGATGAGCTTGTTTGGGAGGCGCAATCTAGGAGAACCAGGACTTAGGATGACAATGTGAGGTTTGAGTGACTGACTGCTCACGCTATGGAAGGTCTCAACACCCTATGAGGTGGCCTTTACCAGTATCTCCGTTTCACAAGGGGAAACCAAGGCCCAGGTGGCTTGGGGAGCCAGGATTCAATACCGGTTTTTAGTAGACTCCAGCCACTGAGTGTTCCCTGTGTGTGGGATGGTGATGCTGTGTCTGTGGCGAGGTTGATCTGCAACACCTCACACCCCCCAGACAATCCATCATGTCTCCCCTCTGACTGAACCGCTGTCCCTGGTGCTGGCATTTCCAGGTCGAATCCGGCAAATCCTTTGTAAGGAGGTGGGAGTCGGTGTTATTTTGGATGTGAGCTCTGAGGAAGGTTGTTGTCTGAGCCTGGGGAACACACTGAGGGTGTGGACCGTAGCTGTGGAGCTCAACCCTGCCCCCCAGGACTGTCACTTTTTAGGTGGTGAAGCTCATTCTGCAGGACCCTGGCTCCACAGGGCCCTCAGCTTTGTGAGAAAGGAGAGGGCAAGCCTCTGGAACCCCACTTTCCTCCTGAAGTGGAACAGTCCCCACTGGGGCAAGCTGCAATCCAAAACAACAAGGTAGCCATAGACCCACCACAGCATGTGAGAAGAGCTGGAAACGCGGCTCCCCCTTGGGGGGAAATGGAAAATAGGACAGCAAGCCATTGGATAGGGACACGAGCAAGAACGGAGCCTTGAGAAAGCAAGACAGGACAAAACTCTGTGGAGATGTGGGGGCCTGTGGACCCCTGTGGAAGGCCCTGATTGAGGATAAAGGTGTCCAGCCACGGAAGTCTGTGGTAAGGGGGTTGGCCATCTACACCTGATGGTCCCAGGAGCCCTGGGAATGGTAGAATGACCTAAACATCAATGGGGGATTTCTGTGAGTCAGGCCCCACCAAATGTTTCTGCTAATGCGTAGGGGTCATCATAGGCTATTAACCTTGTCTGTTTATCAGTGGACCCCTCCACCACCATCATGGACCCCCCCCCAGGAAAGGACAAGCCTTGGTTACTGCTGCTGAGTCCCTGACACTCTGCTTGGCATTGCACACTGAGTTGCTGAGGGAAACCGACTTTCTGGAACCATGCCAGCTTCTGACGGCATGAACACATGTCTAACTGCCTCTATGAGGATTCATGACTGCATGTTAGCAGCTTGTTGGCCAGTCCGACCTTGACAGCAGACTATATACAAAAAAACGCTTTTTTTTTCTTTAATCTTGGTTTCCAACCTTTGCTGTAGAATTTCTCCCTCTCCTGTCCTCGATGTTAAGTTATTAAATAGCAGTCCAAGATGGTCCAGGTCAAGATCCCCGTCTTATAACCAGTTCAGTGCAGCTCCCTCTTCTCCCACTCCTGCTCTTGGTGATGAGACGGGGCAAGGTGGGGATTGAGAAGCATCTCTACTCCTTCCTCATATGGTCACAGAGAGCACACCTCCGGGAGGTGACCTCCAAAAGTGAGCCCTGGGGTTGTACCAGGCTACATCACTGTCCATTGCTTTCTGACCACAGCTCTAAGCCATCCTGCTCACTCATATGCATGGTATCACTTACCTCTTGACTGGCAACTCACTCACTCCTCGAATGAGTCTCCTCCTTCACTCCTCTAGCCATCTGCTTGTGTAAACGAGCGGGCGGAGAGAAATCCTGGGGTGGGGGGTGGTTGTCCAGTCCCCATCGTTTGTGGGATTGCTTTTTCATGTGGGGCACCTGCTGCCTCTAGGCCTTTGCCATTTGCAGAGCTGTATGCAAAGCCCCTCCCCACATGTGTGATGGCTGGCATGTGGCTCTCTCTGCCTCAATGGTCTGTTGTGTATGGTGGTCTTGAGAGTCTGCACGAGCCTGGCATGGTCCCCTTTCTACTTTTTTCCTTAGAGCCCTGGTTCCAGGCCTGTGGTCACACCAACATCGCCTGCAAGATGGTGAAGGGGAAGCTGGTGGAGGTAGGCAAGTGGCCATGGCAAGTGAGCATCCTATTCCTGGGTGCGTACATCTGCAGCGGTTCCCTCATCCACCATCAGTGGGTCCTCACGGCTGCGCACTGCCTACAGAGGTCAGTCAGGGTGGCCAGCCATCCCCAGCGGCTTTGCTTTCTGGCCTGGAGGTGGGGGGGCCCTTGTATATCTGAGGATGTGGGTGTAGGGACCTGGCTGGGTTCTCCTGTGCTCAGTCCGCGCCTCTCCAACCACTTATGCCTCACTGTGGGCAATCTGCCTGCTACCTATGGCCCTGCAGATCCAAGGACCCCAGACAGTACTCCGTGAGAGTGGGAGTCCAACACCTCCCAGAAAACGGCACTCAGCTTCTGCTCACTCGCATCGTGATTCACGAGGACTTCCACAACCTCATATCCCGGGACATTGCCCTCCTGAAGCTCAGGGACCCCATCTCCTGGTCCCCCCTCATCCAGCCTGTCTGCCTGCCCAACACCAAATTCCAGCCATCTCTCGGGACCATGTGCTGGGTGATAGGGTGGAGACATAAAACTGATCAAGGTGAGTAAAGGCCGGCAGGGAGATCCCAGGGCCGCGGCCTCCTTGGAACACAGCTCCAGCATAGACTCGTTGGTTCATTCCCTTCTTCACTTGTTCGGTCCCTCAGCAAACATTCCTGAGCTGCACACCGTCCTCACCTCTGTTGATAGGAAGAGATCCCCAGTGCTCTAGTGTAAAAGACACACATGGTCTACGTGGGCCTCAGTTCCCAAAGTTAAGTTAAATCCAGTTAAGTTAAAGCCCTGGCAGAGAAATTAGTCTTGCTATTCACGGGATTCCCTGTCTGCAAGTGGCACATTGGTCATGACCCCAGCAAGTATTGAGGCTTTGAGCGGCCATCATACATACTTGTTACCTCAAGGTAACAAGGAATGATTGGTGCCACCCTAGAGTCCTAGAATCGAGGAGTGTTTGTGGGATCCTGCCCTCCAGAGGAGTGGCACATTTTGGGCTCCTGACTCTTGACACCTTGCCAGGTGGCCATGGAGCAGTGCTCAGACCCCGCCCTCGTGAAACCCAAATTATTGCAGTCATCTCTCCTTGTCCTCATTCAGTGCTCAGATGCTGCTCTGAACCCCTTGGGAGACTTTCACTTGGTCTTTTTAAGGAGCTTAGGTGTTTTCAAAAGTCAGGCTGTGGGATGGGGCCTTTATAAATTACTATCCCAGGACAGTAGGCCTGTTTCACAACCCTAGTGAATCTGGACAACTTCAGAATGGAGATGCGTCAATAGTTGAAGGGATAATGAGGCAAGATCTCTCTCTCTTTCTAGGAACCTCAAAGACCCCCTACAGTCTTCAGGAGGTGGCTGTCAAGATCATTAACAATGATATCTGCCATAGGCAGTACAAGTTCCTCTTCTTGAAGGAAGACAAGAAATTCATTGGGCAGGACATGCTGTGTGCCGGCTCAGAATTCGGCACAGACTCTTGTCAGGTGCGGGGGTTTGGCCCAGGGGAGGGAGGGGACGTTCAGGGATCATGCTTTCCTTTTCATAGGCACTCAGTGACCTTATGAAAATCTCCTTTCCTTGACCTTCAGTTGCCAAGTCTGTAAAATAGGGTCAGAATACTCCTTGCACCCGTCCACAATAATAGTAATAATGGCAATGCTTCTCAGGTCTTTTGAACATTTCGGAACATCAGTTACATGCCCAGATGTGGGCCAGGTGCTGGCAGAACTGGTTTTGCATAAATGACATCATTCCGTAAGCATGTGTCTGCCTCTTGCATCTTCTGTTCAACATTGTTTTGGAAATTTATCCCTATTGGAAAGTGCAGCCAATTCATTCATTAACATCTCTAACTGTGATAATTCTCTTGTGACCATGTCACAATTTATAAACTCTATTGTTTATAACATCAAGGTGATTTTCAGTTTTTAGTTTTTCATATCACAAACCACTGCTCTGAGTATTCTTACACACATCTCCCTATTTACATGTTCCAAAATTCACGACAGGATGTGTGTCCTGCAAGGAACTGGGAGGGTCATAGGCAGTGTATACCTTCATCTTTAATAGTTATTGCTGGGGCACCTGGGTGGCTCAGTTGGTTGACCATCTGACTCTTGATTCAGCTCAGGTCATGATCTCATGGTTCATGAGTTCGAGCCCCACATCAGGCTCTGAGTTGACAGCACAGAACCTGCTTGGGATTGTCTCCCTCTCTCTCTGCCCAGTCCCTGCTCTCTCTCTCAATATAAAAAAATTTTTTTAAAATACTTATTGCCAATTGTTTTCCAGAGTGATCATGTTAACCCATATTCTTACAGCAGTGTTTGAGAATTCTGTCGTTCCATAGTATTGGCGACAGTTTTGTTATCATCAGACTATAAAACATTTTCCATTCTGTTTGATGAGCAGCAGAGCTATAGTGTCCCACCGTGGCTGCCGTGGGCATGTCCCCAGTGACCAGACAGCTATGCGTCTCTTCCTGTGCTCATTTTTCATTCGTGATTCTTCTTCTCTGAATCACTGACTCAGCTATTTTTGCACATTTTCTATTGTTTGCCTTTTTCTATTATATTTTTATGTTTTGAATGCTTGTTCTGTGTTCCTTGTGTACATGGCAGATATCTTGTCCTGGTGTTTTAATTTATCTTTTCATTATGTTTACGCTGTCCTTTGCTCAACAGTAGTTTAGATTTTATTGTAGTCAAGACCAGATGGACTTAATATACAGGAAAAAAATTATATATATATAGAACATTCCATCAAAAAAACAGCAGCATACACATTCTTTGCATGTGCACATAGAACATTCTCCAGGATAGATTGATCCCATGTTAGGCCACAAAGCAAGTTTCAGTGAATTCAAGAAGATTGAAACCCTATCAAGCATCTTTTCTGACCACAACAGTATGAAACTAGAAATCAGTTACGAGAAAAAAAACAACAACTGGAAAAAACAGAAACATGTGGAGGCTAAGCAACACACTACCAAATACGTAATGGGTCAGTGAAGAAATCAAAGAGGAAATTGAAAAATAGCTTGAGACAAATGAAAATGGAAATACAATGGTTCAAAATCTTTGAGATGCAGCAAAAACAGTTTTTTTAAATTAGGTTTTTAAAAAATGTTTTATTTATTTTTGAGAGACAAAGAGGCAGAGCCTGAGCAGGGGAAGGGCAGAGAGAGAGGGAGACACAGAATCCGAAGCAGGCTCCTGAGCTGAACTCATGAACTGAGAGACCATGACCTGAGCTGAAGCCAGCCACTTAACCGACTGAGCCACCCAGGTGTATTAAGTTTTGTTAAAGTTTTTTTTTATCATTTTGAGAGACAGAGAGAGACAGAGCATGAGTGGGGGAAGGGCAAAGAGAGAGGAAGACAGAATCTGAAGAGAAGAGCTGTCAGCACAGAGCCCGATGTAGGGCTAGAACCTACAAACCACGAGATCATGACCTGAGCTGAAGTTGGAACCCAGGTGCCTCCTAAATTTATTAAGTTTTTAATTTTAATTCTAGCATAGTTAACATACAGTATTATATTAGTTTCAGGTGTACAATATAGTGATTCAATAATTCTGTACATCATCTCGGTGCTCATTATGATAAGTGTACTCTTAATCCCCTTTATCTATTTTGCCCATCCTCCACCCACCTCCCCTCTGATATGTTTTATTTTAAATGAATACCCTCAGTTAAAGTTACTGCTTTTTTCCAACAAGAACATTTTTTTTTACTTGAAGCATATTTCAGAATACATGGTTCTAAAAGATAAATATAAAACATTCCATCCAAGAAAAACAGAATACACATTTTCCTTAAATACACATAAAAGAATCTTCTGGTTAAATCACACAAAAAGAGATATAATAAATGTTACAAATTTAAGAAGACTGAAATCATACCAAGAATAGTTTCCAACCACAATGGTACAAAACTAAAGATCAACAACAGTAAAACAAAGCTGGAAAATCTACAATGTAAATATTAAATATTTAATATGTAAATATTCAACAACACACTACTGCACAAGCAATGGGCCAAATAAGAAATAAAAGGGCAAATCAAAATATGTCTCAAAACAAAAGAAAAAGAAAATACAATATTCAAAACCTATGGGATGCAGCAAAAGCAGACATTAGAGTGAAATTTATGCTATAAATACTTGTATAAAGAGAAAAAGTTCAAATAAACAACATTACACCACAAGGAACTAGAAAAAGAATAAACTTAGCTGAAATTTAGTAGAGGAAGGAGATAACAAAGAAAATCAGAAATAAGTAGAAACCAGAATAAATAATAACATAACACTGAAAGTAATGACCAGTTTTTCCAAAAATAAACAAAATTGGCAGTGCTTTAAAAAGCAGTTCTAAGAGGCAAGTTAATAGTGATGCAGGCCTACCTCAAGAAACAAAATCTCAGACAATCTAACTTTGTACCTGAAGGAATGAGAGAAAGAAGCACAAAGCCCAAAGTTAGTAGAAGAAAATAATAAATATTGGAGTAATATAAATAAAATAGAGACTGAAAAAACAATAGAAAAGATCAATGAAACTAAGAGCTGGTTCTTTGAAAAGGTAAAATTGATAAACTTTAGACTTATCAAAGAAATGAGAGAGGCTTCAAATAAAATCAAAAAAGAGAAGTTCAGCCAACACCATAGAAATACAAAGAACTTTTCTAAGAGACAACTGTGAAAAATAATACACTAAAAAATTGGACAACTTAGAAGAAATGGATAAATTCCTAGAAATACACAATCTTCCAAGAATGAGTCAGGAAGAAAAAAAAATTCGAACAGGCTGATTAGTATCAGTATCAGTATCAGTAATCAAAAAACTTCCAACAAACACAATTCCAGAACTGGATGGCTTCACAGATGAATTCTACCAAACATTTAAGAAGAGTTAATACCTATCTTTCTCAAAGTATTCCAAAATGAAGAGGAAAGAATGGTCCCAAATTTATTCTACAAGGTCAGCACTACCCTGATACTAAAACCAGACAACAAAGACAGGTTAAAAAAGAAACTTACAGACCAGTATTCCTGATGAAAATAGAAGCAAAAATCCTTAAAATACTAGCAAACTGAATTCAAGAATACATTAAAAGGATCATTCACCATGATCAAGTAGATTTGTTCCAGGGCTGTAAACATGGTTCATTATCTGCAAATCAATCAACATGATATATCACATTAACAAAATGAAGGATAAAAATCATATGATCATCTCAATAGATGTAGAAAAAGCACTTGACAAAATTCAACATCCATTCATGGTAAAAACGCTCAGGAAAGTATGTATTGAGGGTAGGTACCTCAACACAATAGAAGCCATATATGACAAACCCATAGCCCATCATACTCATGGTGAGAAGCTGAAAGCTTTTCCTCTAATGTCAGGAATGACAAGGATGTTCACTCCTGCCAATTTTATTTATTTATTTTATTTTTAAAAATTTTACCTGTCTTTTACTTTATCTTGCTCTTTTGTGCAATATAGTACTGAAGTTTTAGCCACAGCAATCAGACAAACACAAGAAATAAAAGGCATCCAAATTAGTAAGGAAGAAGTAAAACTGTCACTGTATGCAGATGACATGATACTACATATAGAAACCCCTAAAGAAGCCATCAAAAAACTCTTAGAACTAATAAGGGAATTCAGTAAAGTTGCAGGATACAAAATTAATATAAAGAAAAATGTTGCATTTCTATATACTAAAAATGAAGTAGCAGAAGGAAATTAAGAAAACAGCTCCATTTATTATTGCATCAAAAAGAATAAAATCCCTACGAATGGATTTAACCAAAGGTGAAAGACTTGTACTCTGAAAACTATAAGACACTGGTGAAAGAAATTGAAGATAACAGAAATAAATGGAAAGATATATCATGCTCATGGACTGGAAGAATTAACCATTAAAACATCCATACTATCCAAAGCAATCTACAGATCTGATGCAACACCTATCAAAACACGAATAGTATTTTTCACAGAACTAGAATAAAAAATACTAAAATTTGTATGAAACCACAAAAGACTCAGAATGGACAAAGCAATCTTGAGAAAGAAGAAAAAACTGGAGGTATCACAATCCCAGATTTCAAGCTATACTACAAAGCTAGAGTAATCCAAAGAATATGGTACTGAAACAAAAATAGACACCGATCAGTGGCTAAAGGAGGCAAGAATATACTATGGGAAAGACTGTCCCTTCAATAAATAATGTTGGGAAAACCAAACAGCTACATGCAAAAGAATGAAACTCAACCACTTTCTTACAACATACACAAAAATAAACCCCAAATGGATTAAAGATCTAAATGTAAGACCCCAAGCCTTAAAACCCCTAAAACAAAACATAGGCAGTAACTCTTTCACAACAGCCTTAACAATTTGTTTTTGAATCTGCTGTCTCAGGCAAGACCAACAAAAGCAAAACAAAATAAAAACAAAACAATTGGGACTACATCAAATGG